ACTTCTTTGAGGCTCAGGTTCTCAGTTTCAAAGTGGAATAATCTGACCAACCCGCAGGCTTGTTGGACACCTTGCGCGTGGACGTTCAGCACACGTCGACTCGGTCAGCACTGGCAGCGTTGCCGTGGCAGTGGCCAGTGCCCTCCCTTTGCTTTGTTCTGTCTCTCTCTTTTCTGTCTTTACTTCCCCTGGCCTGACACTGACTTCGGGGCTCAGGTCTGGCTTGCAAGGTGCCACATGGAGTCCCTGGGTAGGGGATGGGCTGCCTTGACAACCCCTGGCAGGAGCCTGAGACAGCTTGAAGTAGCTCACACCACACACACACACACACACACACACACACACACACACACACACACACACCCTTGGCTCTCAGCTCATGTGTAGCAGCTTTAGACAAGGCTGAACCTAGACTCAGGGGCTCAGGCTGAACCTGACCCCTCTGCTCTCTGTCTAGCCCTCCCACGGCTCTTGCTGCTGCTGCATGCTGACACAACCAGCCTAGCCACCTTGGGTACACTGAGGCCCTCTTCCTCTGATTCCAGCCGGAGTGGCTGACTTGACCACATCCTCATCAGGGCACCTGGGAGGGTGTTTTCTGCCCGCCTGGACTTGAGTCACATGTCCTGCTTGGGGCAGCAGGGAACGGGGTCCCTGGATCCACGGTGCTCTGCAGGCCTGCCTGCGGCCTGCGCCATGACCTCCATGCCCACAGCCCTGTTGCAGCCTTTCTTTGCACGTGCTGCCTCCTGTAGTGTAGTGTATTTCCTATGAACTTACTCAGCCCTCAAATCCAGCCAGAATTCATCTTCGTTAGCAGACCTCCTGCCCCCTACCAGGCACCAGGGCTGCACTGTGCGCTTTCCATATGTGGCTCAGCGCAGCCCACTCCAGCCTGCACAGAAGGGCACTGTGGTCATGACACTTAGGGACTTGTTGGTGTGCTGGGGCCCCTGTCACTCTGTCCTGTGCTTAGCGGGCTCATACTCTGCCTCTTCCACAGGGGCTCCAACCTCCCCAAAGGCCACTGGATACAGCACATGCTCAGGGTGGCCTTCCTGGGACAGTGAATACAAGTAAGCTGGATCCACTGGTCGGGTCAGGCTCAGAGGAGCTTGGAGCAGTGTGTAGGAGTGGCTGGCAGAGGGCTGCTTTGTCACCTGGTACAGTGTGGCAGTGCACACTTGTTTGTGGCTCTTGCCACCTTCTACATTGAGCCCAGACAGCTGGCTTCTCCTCCTGTCCTCAAGGCTTCCTCTTTGAGTCTTTTCCAGCTGCAAGAATGCAAGGCATTAGAGAGCCATGGTTCAGACTGGGCAGGCCCTGTGGTGCAGGCCTGTGGAGATAGGAAGAAGGAAGTGGTTGCTGGGCCCGGCCTGGAGCAGGGTGCAGATGTCCTGAGAAGACACCTCTGCTGATGAGGCCCCTCTGCACAGTGACAGGCTCACCAGCCCTCCAGCACCCAGCATGCCCCAGAGCTCTGTTGGGCCCTAGAGTGGCCAGCTGTGGTCCTGGCAGGTCCCAAAGGACCTCCTTTATGGGTTCATACTGTCGGTGTAAGGTCAGGGCTGCCGGCAGCTCCCTGGTCTCCCAGTGCATTCATGAGCCCTGGAGTCTTGCCACTTGAGAGGCATTCCTTTGGGTTTGTTTGGTCTGGCAGAGTGACAATGTCTTGAAACATGTATGCCCCTGGATCCCTATCGGTCATACACAACAGTGTGAGGGAGGGGTCCCCAACCCTCCTGAAAGGGGCTCTGTGTAGCAGGGGCTGCAGACAGAAGGATCTGAAACAGAACAAGGCAATGGCTCTGCTCTCCGTGCCCTCCTGCACCCAATCCCGGCCCCAGCCCCAGCTTGGTTTGCAGGGAACCGAAGGTATCAAGAGCCCCTGCGGAGGGCCCAAGCTCAAGCCCAACTTACCTGGCTGGGCGTGTCTCCTCCAGCTGCTGGCTGAGTGATCCTGGCCAAGGGCCTTTCTGGTGTGTTGTCATCTGTAGAAAGAATAAGAAGCATGCACTTTGGGACTGTGTTCATTTGGATTCAAAGAGGAACTCTGTGCATGTGGCCCTCTGGTGGCTGACATGTCATTTGCCTGGTGTGGAGATGTCAGGTCAGGGTACAGCTGGGATGTAAGTAGCCCTATGTAGAGGGACATCTAGGGAGACTTCCTGGGGAAAGTTTCCAGAGAGTCATTCTTGGCTGCAGTGACCACTAGACCTGTGGTCTCGGGTCCCTGATTCCCCAGATCAGCTGATGCTCCATGTTGCAAGCTGACTTGTTTCTAGAAAGAGAATGAATGTGAGTTAACCAGTTAACCCCTGCCAGGTGCACTGGTCTCTTTGTGCCACCTGGTGAGGCACCAGAGAAGGTCAGCAGCCTGGCTGGGGCCACTCGGCTAAGCAGGCAGGGTGGGTGCTAGCCCGACAACCAGAGCTCCTGTGGGAACCAGCTCTGACCTAAAGCAGGGCTCTGCCTCCCCTTCTGAGCTCTGTGTCCTGCAGACCTGCCTCCCACATGCAGACCTGCTCTGTTTGTGCTGTGATCCCCTGGGCATCTGTCCTGGAGCTGGGCAGTGGCCCCTGTGAGCTTCGCGCCCAGGAGAGAGTGCAGTACAGCCCGGGCCACCATCCTAGGAATGCGGTCACTCTAGGAGAACCTTGCTTGGCTCCTGCTGGCTGCACAGAGCAGGGACATGACCCTGTCTGGGCACCGGTTGATACAGCAGCTGTTTGCCCTGCCCAGTGGTCCCACAGCCAGTGCTTTAGGGTAGAGGTGGGGCTGCCCTGACCCAGCAGCTGCATGGGGACATTCCCATGAGCCCAGGCTGTGGGCTTCCCTGTGGGAAGCCTGGGGCCCTGTGCTCTGGGCCATAGCAGGAGAGGGAAAGGAAGGCAGAGCTCACCTCCCTCCAAAAGTGGCACCTGCTCTGTGGAGGCAGAAGTCCAAGTTCCTGTGCCTGGGGAACAGGTGCCCCTTCTGGGCTGCCCATGCAGCCAGGACATGCCCAACTCCCTCCTCCTGGGCCCAGGCTCATCCAGCCAGAGGATCTGGGTCACCCCAGACAGACTCACCAGTGCCACCGTGTGACCTCTGTGCATTGCTGGAAAGCCGCATGTGACTGCTGGCTGTGGCTGAGACCTCAGCTGTGGCTGCCACCGCCACCCTCTGCAGTGGAACCTTGGAACCAGGGAGGTGGTGTTGGTGGTGTGGCACCCAGGCAAGCCACTTGGGGCTCTCAGCTTCAGTGACCACAGACTGCTCCCCACTCCAGTCACTCCGGGCTCTGGGAACTTACCCTGCTTGGCAAGCCACTGGGAGGTCCTGGGGACAGGAACAGGAGACACCAGAGCTGTCCTCCGACCCATGGGGACATCTACCTGTCACTGTGCTGAACCTGGCCTTCCAGGCACATCTCCTTCAGCCCCACACCCATGCCCTGGGAACAAGGAACCAGGAGGGTGGAGTGACATTCTTCTCAGTCACTTACCAGAATCCTGCATCCTGCAGAGTTTTGGGGTCATCCACCAGAGCCCAAAGGAGCCGCCCACAGCCTGAGGGCACACCAATCTGTTCTGTTCCTCCTCGGGATGCTGCCCCTCCCCAGGTCAAATCTATCTCTTGGGCCTCATACTTCCTGGGATTTCCCTGCAGGTGGCTCTGCCTCGAGAGGCAGCTCTAGAGAGTGAGAACAGCTGGAGGAAGTGGTGGCTCTCGCTTTACCCCCAGCCTCCTCTGCCAGCCTTGGTGCGACACACAAGCATGTGCTTGTCAGGGTGTGCCAGCTCCCTGCCCACCGCTGAGGGTATAGTGGTGCAAGGGCACACCCTGCTCTCAGGAAAACCTGCTCGCTTCTGGAGATGGGACATAGATCCATCAGCCTGAGACTGAAAAGGGACCCTGGGAGAGAAAAGACAGGGGTATGAATCATGGGAAGGGTTCTAGGGGGAAGTACACCTGAGCTGTAGGGATGAGAAGGAGGAAGGCATTTACACCCAGATATTGCCATGGACCAGAGCACAGACCCTGACAGGAGTGGGCAGGACCCCCAGATCTTCAGTTCCAGGGCAGTCACATCTATAGCAGAGAGTTCACGTCCTCCTCGCCCTGAAGAGCAGCCTCCAAGGGGAGGTCTGTGAGACCAGATGTGGAGGCGTCTGTATGTCATCTGTCAGGGGCCTGGCTTGTGCCATGTCATAAGCCCAGTGTCCACACAGTGCTGAATATAATATAAAATCAATAACTGTCTCTGGTTCACTCAGCTCCCAGAGTAATCAGTGTCTGCCTAGAGTAACTGGTTGTCACATGTGCCACCCACCCTGTGGGAGAATGCAGAAGCATCCTGGACACTTCTGGCATGTCCCAGGTGCAGCGGTAATGCCACATGCCAGCTGTCTCATATGGCCTACCTGCTGGGGTCAGGCACAGTTTGAGGAACTCTGATCATGTGGGAACTCTACGTAATAGACGCATTGTGCCATTCTACAGATGTAGTAATTAAAGCCTAATCATTCGCTCAGTGCAGTTGGGCCATAATTCTAATCTAGATTTGTCAGAGTCTTGCACACGCCCTTTGTGGTGTATCACATCATCAAGACTCCCTATTTTCTGAAAAACTGAAGCTGGGATCTCGGTGTATGTGGCTCCCAGTGACTTAGTAAAGTCTGATTTGTCTTAAGGGATACATTTTGGGGTAGATGAACCTGAAGCACCCTGACAGGGTGCCTGGAGTCTCCGTCATCACATTGAGTGAAGCCAGAAACTCCTCAAGGGCTCTGCCCAAAGGGTGCAGAGGTTAGCAGTGACCGAACCAGGCCACAGGAAACAGGCCCTGTGCACCCCTGGGGTGGGCGTTCCAGGCGGGGTTCAGTGTATAAACTAAAAGGTGCCGGGTTCTGTGGCAGGTCTTCTAGAGAATCAAGGGCTGCTTGTGCTGGTTTGGGGTTCTTGAGTCCTTGAGCCCCTGCTCATCCCTCTCTGACCACTGCTCTTTGTCCCTGCAGGCCTGCCACTCTGAGCAGCAGCCCCATCATCTCAGACATCTCCTTGATCCGGCTCTCTCCGCACCCTGCTGGCCCCGGAGAGTCCCCATTCAACGCCCCCCACCCCTACATGAACACCCACATGGAGCACTACCTCCGATCTGTGCACGGCAGCCCCACGCTCTCCATGATCTCGGCAGCCAGGGGCCTCAGCCCCACCGATGGTGAGAAGGGCCTGGGGTTGGGAAGGGGTTCTGAAGGACACTGGCCCCACCCTAGCCTCTCTCCCTGGGGACTGTGACCAGGCTGATTTTCCTTCCCACTGCTTCTGAACACAGACTTTCCAGGAGATGAATGATAACGGCTGAGAGATTTGGGAGGCCCTTGGGTGTTGGGTTTTTCACAGCGCCCTTCTGTATGCTTTACTGGAAGGGTGCAGGTCTGTTTGGGTAGGTCCTGTCTTTGGTGGGAATCACTGGCTAAAGTCAACCGGATCTGCAAGAGCTGGTGTTAAGGGCAGGGGGTTGTTTGGTGGTGTCTCAGATCACCCTAGAGCAGGAGGAAGCAGGGCTGGCTGGCAGCTTCCTGTGTCTTTTCTGGGCCCCTTGCAGGTCAGCTCAAGTGGCTTTCCAGTGGCTGCCCAGCCCCCAACACTCTAGACCTGAAGTTGTGGCTTGTGTCTCTGGGTTCAGATGCTTGAGGGACAGACTGGTTGGCTCAGCTTGGAAATCAGCTGGCCACGCCTAGTCCAATTAGTAGGAGTCTGGACAGGGCCGGATCACACGGTACAAATAAGCTGTCCAGATCTAAGATACTTCTGGTCCCCACCCTCTGTCTCCGGTCCCCACCCTCTTTGCCCCAGTCCTCACCCTCTGTCCCCCAGCCCATGCATGCAAACATACATGGGCACGTACCTGCACACACGTGCTGGACAGCAGGGAGCACATGTGAGAGCTGGCCCTGCCCGTGCAGCTCTTTTGGAGGTGCACCACGTTCCCTGGCATGGATGGGCACTACCCGCTGCCCTGCAGTGCTGCTGTCATGGGGCTGCTAGCCTTGCTGGTGCCCATCCTTGAAGGCAGCCATGCTGCAGCTTCTCAAAATGCGCACTGCTGAGACTTCAACGCTGAGCCAGAGTCGCTTCCAGGCCAGAAGGCATTTACAGAGTGTGCTGTGAGCCCACAGGCAGAGGCTTTGGGAAACGTGGCCCCAGCCAACCCCTCCTTGTTGCTGTCATTCAACTCCAGAGAAATGTGTCCCTCTTACCTCCTGCTTGGGGGTGACTAGGAGCTGAAAACTTTGGCCTGGCTCTGAGAAGGTACCTGCGGGAGTTCCCAAAGCAAGGGGCTTCTGGCTTCCAAATATGAACATGAAGCCCTCCCTGAAGCATCAGGCTTAGGTTCCAGGCAGAGTTTGTGCTCTGCCCCATCTTCTCCAGAGGCAAACAGGGAAGGCAAGTGATTATGAGCACCAGGCCTAAAACTAGCCAACCAGAATATGGTGCCACAGGGAAATGGCCCCTTAAAGTTAATAATCCAGCCCTGAACTCCACTTGGGTCCCCAGGTGCCCTTGACTGACTGGGCTGGGGTCCCGAAGGTCATACAGCTCTACCAGAGGTGCTGTCTTATGGAACAGGCCCAGGTTCTCCTATCGCTTCTGGTGACCCGGCCAGGGGTACACATCAGGCTGCAGATGCTGTCTCTGCCACTGAATGGTGTCCCCAAAGATGGAGCCACAACTTTGTTCCCACCTCTGTGTGTGCTACATCATTTAGAAAAAAAAGCTTTCCAATTATATTAAATTAGCAATCTTGAGCTGAAGAGATCATCCTCAATTAGACTGCACCCCAGTGACACTTGTCCTTGTAAGAGACACATGGGACACAGCAAAATGAAGCCCGAAGCAGAGATGGGAATGATGCGGCCACAAGCCAAGAAGGCCAAGCGGCCACTCAAAGCCGGAGGAGGCAAGAAATAGCTTCTAGAGGTTCCAGAAGGAGCCTGCCTTGTTGACACCTTGATTTTGTATTCATGAACTCCAGAGTTGTGGTAGTGAAATTATGTTGTTTTAACAACAATTAGCTCCAAGTTTGTGCCTTCTATTGTAGCAGCCTCTGGTGCTTGGTGGCAGCGTTCCTAAGAAGAGGCAGAAGCCAGCAGCCCGGTCAGGGCCACAGTGGGCTCTAAGAGGTGTCAAAGGGGAAGGAAGGGAAGAGTATGTGGAGACACTCAGGAGTCACTACAGGATTGCAGTGTGGCCCCTGCAGAAATGGGCGGTGACACGGACGCTTGTAGGAGAGACCTTCACTGCGTGGAGCACCGAGTTATGCCTCATTTTAATATAAAAACTGATATGGTTCCAGTAACACTCATCCTGGCCACAACCTGTGAGACAAAAGGCATAGGTTCAGCATCAGGGTCACCAGGCTAATTTGGATAGCTCTGGTTCCCACAGCAGGTAGACCAGATACCCCAAGGCTCCATCAGCCCCACACCAAGGCAGTGGGGACCAGAACTGGTGTATCTGGGCTTCAGAGCAGCCCTGTCAAGAAAGGAAGTTCGTGAGCAAGCCCAGGCAGTGTCTGCCAGGCCATGTATGTTCTGGGGACAAGAAGGACTTCCAGGGAGGGAATGGGCAAGGCACTGCTCCATTATAGACAGAGCAGGCAGAGCCAGGGTGGTCAGCCTTGCTGGAACTCAGAGCAGAGGAAGAGGAGAGCAGTGCTTGCATCTGCTTCTTTCATCTCTCCACAGATGCACAGAGGACGGCACATTTGCCAGCACTAGGAGCAGAGAGGGCCTGGCACACAGTGGTTAGGACTTGGGCTCTAGATTCAAACTACCAGTCCAGCCGCCCCACTTCACTGAGGGACCTTGCCTGCACCTCCTCAGCGGGAATGACAAGGGTGGCTCCCAGCTCCTGGTGCTGTGCTGACAGTGAGGTTGAGGATCACGTGAGCCCCCCAACACTGGCCTGCTGTACACCCAGCGAGCGAGTGCTCACCATGCAGAGTAATGCAGTTGGGATTTGATAGTAATTTTCAGAGGGGACATTCTTACTCGCATTTTACAGATGAAAATCTGAGATGGTGCCTTCTGGTTTTGCATACCTAGTAAACTCTCCGTGGATGTATTTGGTTCCCAAGCTCCCAGTCGCTGTCTGGCATAGCAGTCGTGAGTGCCAAGCCCCACAGTTACACGGAACCCTCTCCTCAACCCCTGGGTTGGTGCTGAGGGGACAGGCGCTGTGGGCACTGGCCAAGGCACCCCACCTCGTCCTGAATGTTCTGGCAGGGGCTGGCCCGGCCCATGTAGCTGCCTTGGGCTTCCTTTCCAATTATCACCTCCCTCTGAGGAGTTCTGGGCCCCGGGCTCATCACGCTCGGCTCTGGCGGGGAGGAGGCCAAGATTATCTAAGACTAAGCAAGGGAAGTGTGCCAGGGCTGGACCTGGCCCCTCTCCACAGCAGCAGCAGCCCCCTGTGCTGGCCAAGATGGGGCCCAGCTCACTGCTGATGGACACACAGGCGGGAGGCACCCCTCAGGCCGGTGTTTCTCTTGCTTTTCCTCGATCAGGAAGGATACAGCCAATGCCAGGGTCTGATGGCTTCTTTCTCTCCCCTGCCCCACAGTAGCCCATGAGCATCTGAAAGAAAGGGGCCTATTTGGTCTTGCTGCCCCAGGCGCCAACCCCTCGGACTACTACCACCAGATGACGCTCATGGCCGGCCACCCTGCACCCTACGGGGACCTGCTGGTGCAGAGTGGGGGTGCTGCTGGCACACCCCATCTCCATGACTACCTCAACCCAGTGGACGGTGAGTGCTGGGTGAAGCTGGAGAGTGGGAATCCAGACCCTGGGGCAGTCAGCCAGAGGGGGAGCTGACAAGAGCCCCCTTGAGGTGGCAAAGAGCGGTGGCTGTTCCCTTGGTGAGAACTGTTACCTGGGTGCCCCCCAAACTGCCATCCACAGGGCCCTCGCATCTCCCTACAGCACTTTCTGAGTTATATGAGCCAGGTTCTGTGTACAGCACCGTGAACAAACATCTCTGATTTTGTAGAAGCTACATTATAGTGGGAGGAAGCAGACACCACACAGTGCTAGGAAAGAGGCAATGGAATGGCCAGCTATACACGGACTAGGGAGTGAAGGAGCGAACAGGGGTGGAGCAGCAGCCTGGAGCAGGAGTACAACTTGGAAAAGGGAGGCAGCGAAAGCCTCACTCAGGAGACAGTACGCCAGCCCATGATTCTAGCAACAAGCCATGCAGAAGCTGGGTGCACACTGGAGCAAAGTGATCTCATTCAGTCCCGAAAGGGGTCTCGCTCTCCACTGCACTGAGAACTGATTTAGGGACAAGGAGGAAGCGGGGTCCAGCTCGCAGATCCAACAGTTGGTAATGTGTCAGGAGGCTGTGAGGGTGGAAGCACGAGACTGCTCCCAGGCCAGGTGGGAACTTGAAGAGAAGAAAGGCGAGGTTGGCGTCAGAGTCTTGGGTCCGAGCAGTTGGAGACTCGGCTACAGACAGCACCTGTTTATAGTGGGGAGGGAGCTCAGGTGTCCTAGGCAGGTGGGGTTTCGGGTGCCCAGGCTTCTTTTCCTCCCGCCAGATGCCACGTGCTCAGCTGCCATTCCATTGGTGGTGCTCCAGGCCCTGCCCAAGGTGCCTGGGTGTGCAACCAGCCCAGGGGCTGGCCTGCAGGTGAGCGTCTCCTCAAGCCCTGCCCGGGCAGCCTCGCCACTCACAAATGGTCCGTGGCAGGAGGAGGCAGAGGCCTTCAGGGGGCATCCCCTCCTCAGGGCAGCTCTGGGCCCTCTGCCCTGTGCAGACGATAAGCAGCGCTGGTGGCCACAGGTCTGCAGCCTTAGTGTGGGCCCTGTTCTGAGCTCTGCTCCCGGCCTCTTGCTGTCCTGCCGCGCCTCTCTCCCGTGGGGCTGAGGCCTTGTCTCCTCCGGGTGTCTCTGCCAGTGCCTCTTCCTTCCCTGCCTCTACACCCTTACTTTCTCTGTCCTGCCCACTCCAGGCTGACGGGAACTAATGGGGTAGTCCTGTGGCCCCTTGGGTGTCTCCTGCCCCCTAGAAACAGGGGCAGGGTTGTGACACACGTCAGGTGGATTAAACACGCTGCACGTGTGACCCAGGGCCTGGCATATATGGCGGGTGCTTAGCCAGTGGTAGTTTTGCTCTCTTTCTCCAGCATCCTTTTCTTCTTCCAAAGCCACCCCTTTCCTCTCGTAGGACTCTGGGTCTCTGCTGCCTGCTCCTCTGTCTATCTGATGCTTAAGCCCAGGACAGAAGCCTTCCTTGGCCACCTCTTCTTTGCCGTTTCCCAGTCAGCACTGGACCTCAGGCCTGCCAACTGCAGCTTGTCACCGTTCCCTGGCCAGCCAGTCATTTGCCACCTTTCCAGCTCTGCCTTCTATCTTGGCACTCTGGCTTAGGCCCCCTCGGCCTCCTGCTACCTCCTGAGGGGACCTGGGGGCCCCAAACTGCTCACATCCTGCGGCACTGGTCCCACTGCTTCGCCACACTAACTCCCACACAGTGAGTGGCCTAGGCCCTCTTCCAGGTCACCCCCCGAACAGAGTCCCAGGGCTCTGGGGATGCCCAGCGGGGCCCAAGGCTCCCTAGTCAGGACTGGCTGGTGCTTCTCCTTCTGTGTCGTGAAGCCCAAGGTTGGGGCTCATCTGATGAGGGCAGGCTCTTCCTGTGTGTCGGGTGAGAGAGTGAGTGGCAGTGACAAAGGAACTGGATTAGAACGATGCACACTAATTAGTGCAGAAACGGCACTGGTGGGAGAGCAGCTGCGGGCTGGCAGGCAGCCTGGAAAGGGGCTGCGGAGCAGCTTTGTTCTCCAGGGCACTCGGCCCTGGGCAGCATCTGGGGGCCGAGCATCTCCAAGCAACCGGAAGGCCAGGGCTGAAGGGGCAAGCAAGGAGGGGAGCTCACGGGTGGGCAGGCGAGCGCCCAGCTGACGTCAGCAGCTGCTGCCTCATGCTTCACACACACACACACACACACACACACACACACACACACACACGCGCGCGCGCGCGCACACACACGCCTCTCTCCCTGCCTCTTCGGTCAGTCGTATTGCCAGGCTCCAGGGTCAGCCTAACGAGGCTGTCAGTTGCTCAGACTCAGGCTTGAGGTGAGGGAGAGGGTTTTCCTTAACTACGATTTCAAGAACAGGCAGGTTTTATGGTTACTAACCTATTATAACCCAAGCTCTGAGCACCTTCAATCATTTACACTTTTTACTACTTAGTACACTTTGTTTCACCAACAGCTTTTTTTTTCTTTCTTTTTCTCCTTCTCTTTTTTGGTGCTAAAGACTGAAGCCAGGCACCCTGCCCCCATGCTAAGCCTGGGCTGTGCTGCTGGACTACATCTCCAACCCATTTCAAATATTTTTAAACCAAACATTTGCTTCCACTTTTTTTTTCTGACCATTTAAAAAAAATAATTTTATTGAGAAACAAGTAGCAATGAGACAGTGTCAAAACTGATTACTAGCACAGTTTCAATAATTAATACATTGCATATTGTTGTCTTAGTGGTTATTCATTGTATAGGATGCAGGCATGGTATCCTGTCCACAAACACTGTTTGAACAAATCTCTCTATTCGCTGAATTAAGAGGATGCAGCTGTGTATCTATCCTAACTATTGCTTCTACTTTTGAAAATCTTGCCGGCACTTGCACTCCGCTCCACGCCTGTGCAGAGGTGTCACTCAGAGGCGTGTCTGAGATGCAGACCACAGCCCAGTGCTCCTCGCCCAGTGTGAGCCCAGCAGAGCAGGCCTGCCTCGGGGATCTCCCCAGCTGCACCCTCCCTGAGCTAGGGGAGCCACGGTGGGCACTTTCAGCACCTTCCAGCTGTGCAGGTCTGTGGAGTAGACCTGCCCTGGGAAATGCAGTCCCTCCAGGAGAGACAGAGGAGATCTTTCCACGAGGCTCCTCTTTGTTCAGCATTCTCCCAGAGGCCAGGATCCAGAGGTCACAAGTCACTGGCTGCCGTCTCTAGAGACCTGCAGGAAGGTTCTGGGTCTCTAAGGACGTACTCACATAGGCCAGCAAGTCATCCATAGACACGGCCTTGAGGTGCAAGTCTTCCCGGGCACAGGAGCCCTCGAGAGTGCAGAGGAAGCCGAGGAGAACAGGCCTTCTCTGGTTGCCTCACCACACACATGCAATTGTTTGGTGGATAACAGAGGCGTGAGACAGTGGGGTGAGCCGGGCAGGCATGGAGTCATACCAGTGGGGGCTCATCCCGCGGCACCTTGTGCCCAGTTGGCACGTGTGTCAGCCTGGTTAGTACCTCAGCCAACTGCCAGTCACATGATGGCATATTTAATATTTTTAGCTGACTTACCTTTTTGGATTAAGTAAGTAAACCCTAAATGGAACGTTATATTTTCTCCTACCATGGACATCTTGACCTTGCCTCAGGACGATGCCCTATTTCATTGCCATGGAATCTACCATAGTCTCACCTGGTCCCTGTGCATGCCCGATGTGTGGGGGCCACTTCGGTGTGGGGGTAAGGCCAGCCAGGCCTCTAGGAAGGGGTCCAGGGGGCCCAGAAGCAGCCCCAGCTTCCTCCTGGGCCCTAGGCCAAGATGCAGCAGAGTGAGGAGATTCTAGCTCCTGAGCAAGCTCACCCCTGGTGCAGGGGAAGGCCCATCTTCTCATGTTTAGGGTCTGACTTGGGGAGGAAGACCAGGGAGTAAAGCCACTGGCAAGACAGGGAGAGTCAAGTCAGTGTCCAAGGATATCCCCCCGTGGAGAGCAGAGTATTCGCTAGTTGTCACCCAGGCCCTGGAATGGCATCTTCTCACGTTCGGCTGTTGAATATTGGTGATTTAACCACAGTACTGTGTCAGCCGCGTCCTCCCCTCCTCACCCCCACTACATTGAGAAGATGGAAATGTTTCCGATTGAAATGCTGTCTGTATACAGCCCATATTTCCTCTGAGCTGTATATTTTATTGTCATATTGACACTAATTTGACTCGGATGTCACCTCCATTGTGACACCCGTGCTTTATGCTGCCTGTGGATCCGGGGGGAGGGGGGACTCAGAAACCAATTACATTGATCATACTACAGAGAGGCAGGATGAGTTGGTGCAGGGGCTGCCGGAGACTGAAGTCAGGAAGGAAGTCTAGCCCCAGTCTTGGCAGGAGGGAGATGAGATAGAGACCGGGCCTGCAAGTCCTAGAGAGCAGGCTGCTGGAGGCTGGCACGGGTGGAGTGGTGTCCACGCATCCCCTGGTAAACCTCCTGAGCCATCCTTCCAGGCCAGCACTGAGACGCCCCATCCCAGGGGGAAGCAGGGCCTGGTGGCCTCAACCCAAGCCTCCTAGCGGTTAACAGGAGACGAGCTGTAGACAGCGAAGTGCAGGGAGGTTGAGGTCCTCAAGGTGGACTCTCAGAGCAGATCCTGGTGTGTCCCGGAGAGGCCTGCAGGTGACAGGCCTCCCTACCACTTGGAGCACTGTGAGGGTTTGGGGCACGCTAGCCGTGCCATAGGCCATGTCCTGCCGTCCCCAGGGCTGTGCTGAAGACAGTTAAAGGTATGGAGAAGGCTCCTGGGTCCTTGCCCCAGGACAAAGCTCCCTTCTGGTGTCACCCAGCCCAGCCTTGGAGGAGGGGAAGCCGCCCTGCACAATCCATGAGACAGCAGCCACCAGCCAACAAGACCTTGAGATGGGTGCAGATCGTTTGCCTGAGGTCCCAGCTGAGAGACAGCCCAAGGTGCAGAGGGGCCCAGAGGGTCAGAGCCTGGTCTGCCCAAGTCCTCCCTTTT